CAGAGTGAGACTCCAACTCAAAAAAAAATAAATAAATAAAAATAAAAATAAATAAATAAACTATATTGTCTTTTCTTTCTTTTTTGTTAGTTGGAGTCTCACTCTGTCGTTCAGGCTGGAGGGCAGTGACACGCTCATGGCCATGCTCACAGCCTCAACCTGAGGACTGATCCCTCTGCCTCAGCCTTCCAAGTAACTGGAACTACAGGCACGTACCACCATGCCCAGCTAATTTTTTGTGATTTACTGTAGAGACAAGGTCTTGCCAAATTGCCCAGGTTGGTCTCGAACTCCTGAATTCAGGCAATCCTCTCACCTCAGACTCCCAAAGTGCTGGGATTATAGGTGTAAGCCACCGCGCCTGGCCCAAACTATATTTTCTAATTTAAAAAATTAACTCTAAAACTTAAGTCATATTCTATTTTTTTAAAAAAGAATAATCTGGTCTAATTCGGGAGGTATTTAAAGGTTAATTCAAGTTATGCATTTCGGAAAAAAGATAGGAAGGAACCAGTAAGTAGGAGAGATGTGAAGGTAGTTATTGGTATAAAAATGTATTTTTGGCAAAGAAAGTTATAAAGAAACAATATGGCGAGACTTCGTCTCTGCAATAAAATAAAAAATAGCCGGGCGTGGTAGCGTGCATCTGTAGTTCCCACTACTTGGAAGACTGAGGTTGAAGCTTCGCTGGAGCCAAGAAGGTCGATGATGGGGTGGCCGTGAGCGTGCGTGCCACTGCACTCCAGCCTGGGCAAAGGAGTGAGACTCCAACTCAAAAAAAAGCCCTGCTGGGCTTCGGCGATCCTTCTGCCTCAGCCTTCCAAGTAGCCGGAATTATAGGCATGCGCTACTACACTCAGCTAGTTTTTGATTTTTTTGTTTTCTGTTTTTTGAGTTGGAGTTTCACTCCGTCGCCCAGGCGGGAGTGTGGTGGCCGCTCCTGGCCACCGAAGCCTCGACCTGTTGGGGTCCGGTGATCCTTCCGCCTCAGCCTTCCAAGTAGCTGGAACTACAGGTGCGCGCTACCACGCCTGGCTCATTTTTGATTTATTGTAGAGATGAGGTCTCTACAAATTGCCCAGGTGGGTCTCGAACCCGCGGGCTCAGGCAATCCACTCACCTCAGCCTCCTAAAGGCACGGGATTACAGGCTGAGCCACCGCACCCAGCTGATTTAGAGTCTTACTATGCCACCCAGGCTGATATCATTATAGCTCACTGCAGCCTCAAACTCCTGGGCTCAAGTGATTATCCTGCCTCAGCCTCCTCAGTAGCCAAAACTGTAGGTATATGACACTATGCCTGGCTAATTTTAAAATATTTTGTAAAGACATGGTCTTGTACTTTGAAAACACTGCTATGGTATTGAAAATACCCCATACCCTCAGCAAAGGAGAAAGGGCCATTTGGGTATCCCTCCAAAGCTCAGGTACTCTTTTTTTCTTTTTTCTTTTTTTTTTTGAGTTGGAGTCTCACTCTTGTCACCCAGGCTGGAGTGCGGTGGCATACTCATGGCCACCACAGCCTCAACCTACTGGGCTTAGGCAATCCTACTGCCTAGGCCTTCCAAGTAGCTGTAACTATAGATGCACACCACCACGCCTGGATAGTTTTTGTGATCTGTTGTAGAGATGAGGTTTCACCAAGTTGCCCAGGCTGGTCTTGAACCCTGGGCTCAGGCAATCTTCTGGACTTGGCCTCCCAAAGTGCTGAGATTACAGGCTGAGCCACTGTGCCCAGTCAGTCAGGTACTCTTAGAGGTAGCATGGCAGAAAGTTGGAGGCTAACCCCATACACTCTGCCTGCAGTGGTTCTTTTTTTTGTTGTTTGTTTTTTTTTTTTTGAGTTGGAGTCTCACTCTGTCACCCAGACTGGAGTGCAGTGGCACGCTCCT